TGTGTGTGTGTGTGTGTGTGTGTGTGTGTGTTAGTGAGGACTGAACACTTACCATTGGATGATACCCTGAGACCTAATGGTAACACTTTGAAACATGTCATCTAGTCTCTTTTTCCAACCCTGAGACCTAATGGTAACACTTTGAAACATGTCATCTAGTCTCTTTTCCATTTATATGTATCTATCTTTAAAATGGAATTACTGTGTGCATTATTTTAACTCTACTATTTTCCTTTAGCAATGGGTCTTGCCTATTTCCCTAAAAGATGATCTAATACATATGTATTTTATCTTTATTGCTGTATAGTATTACACTACATGAATATTTGATGCTTTCCCCACTATCTTATTGCTCTTGAAAAATTATATTCATTATATTGTACACCTACCAATTTTCCTATTATACATATTCTCTCTGGCTATTCTGACAGGTTCATAGTCTTTCAAGTGGCTCCAGCAAGAAAGGCAGTGCAGTGTCCTCCATGGAAACTTGTAGTGTTGAGTGGGCCCTGATCTACACATTAACCTTGAATGCTTTTTCTCTATTTCTATTTCCAGAATTTAAAAACTGAAGGACTCTAGTATAAACATTTGTGGTTTGGACCTCACATGTACCCAAAGGTCTGCATGATAAAGGCATGGTCCTAGCTTTCTGGGACTCTGATCTCTCATAGTCTCCTTGCTTCTTGGTTGTGATGGCATGATCAGCTCTACTGCCATGCACTCCCACAGTAAAGTGTATGACCTGGCAAGTCCCACAGAAGCAGGACCAACTGCCAAGTGACCATGGACTGAAAGCTCTCAGGATTCTTAAAATACTGTTTGCCTCATCTGATAGAAAAAAAAAAGCACCATGTTATGATTACCCTGTAGCTCTTGTGCCTTGGCAGTGTTTGACACAGAACAGCTCTCAGTATTTTTTGTTTTGCTTCTAGAGGCAAGGTTTTTCTGTGACTTTGGAGGCCGTCCTGGAACTAGCTCTTGTAGACCAAACTCACAGAGATCCATCTGCCTCTGCCCAGCTCTCAGTAATGATTTAAATACTTCTGCACATTAATTTATGTTATGTCATGTTACATTATGCCAGCAGGGGACACCAGCATGCATATTGTCAGTGACTACCACTGCATGGGGCTGTGCCTTTACCTTATACCATCACCTGAAGCTCAAGGGTACCTCAAAATATTTATTCCTTATTTTATTAGAAATGTATTAGACGGTTCAAGTTCCCCTGCCCTGCTTGGGGACACCTGACATTGGAGGTCTGCTCACAGGATCCAAACTCAGCTGGAGCCAACATGCCCAGAGACTGCCAAGGCCCAGTAACAGTCCTGCCTCCATCCACAAGAAGAGGACAGACATCAGAGTATTGGAACTGTTTGCATATATCAGAAGGGAATCTTGGTCCCACACCCACCAGGAGAGGAAAAGACTCCTGCTCCACCACCGGAAGAAAGGATGGGAAGAAGACAATATAAAAGCACATTCAACAACAGAAAAACCAATATGACACCACCAGAGACTAGGGACCACACACCAGCAAGACCTGAATATCACAATGCAGATGAAGCAGAAGAGAATGACCTTAAAAACATCTTCATGAAAATGATAGAGGGTCTCAAAGAGGATATGAGAAAATCCCTTAAAGAAATGGAAGAAAAAACAAACCAAAAAATACAAGATATCAGCAAATATTTCAAGGAAACAGTTCAAGACCTAAAAACTGAAATAGAGACAATAAAGAAAGTGCAATCTGAGGGAATGCTGGAAATAGAAAAGCTGGATAAATGATCAGGAACTACAGATGCAAGCATAACCAGCAGAATACAAGAGATGGAAGAGAGAATCTCAGGAGTTGAAGACATACTAGTGGAAATAGATTCATCAACCAAAGAAAACCTTAAGCCCAACAAATCCCTAACACAAAATATCCAGGAAACATTGGACACTGTGAAAAGACCAAACCTAAGAATAATAGGTATAGAAGAAGATG